GTTTTTTCACCACAGCTGTTCTTTCTTCTTCCTTCCATATCTTATGCATATCGACCTTAATGGAGTTTTACCTCCATAGTTTCTTGGCATTGACGTAAGAGGCAGGTCATGTACTAGCCCGGAAATTGGAACCCTCCTCGACACACCGTTAAGGGAAATAGGAATAGCGGAATAGCGACGTAAGCCGTTAGACGCCACACGGACAGCGGAGTAAATATATAGAGCTTTCATTTAGCCCCAACCTGAATGCAAAGAAGGCAAATAGAGAAAGAACCCATGAGGAAGCTTAACGTCATCCACGTGGCTCTCTCAAAGGATAAGAAGGAGAGATTTATGGTTGGAGGGGCTGGGGTCGGGTGGGGTGGTCAAGCAATCTTAGGATCAATAAATTGCCTCATACAGAAAACGTTTAATATGGACAGTTTTTTGAGGTCTGTACTGTACGCAGGACCTTTTCTGAGACGGGTGTACACCACTTCACCCTACGTACGTTTTTCAGTGGAAGGGTTGAATGACTCGGCAGTAATGTAAGGGACAAAGGAAAGTGTTCTCAAGGGGGTAGGGTTGTTTCTTATATACGGTATGGACTGGGGAAGGGGGGTGGGGGCTAGGATTACAGGCGTCAGCGGAATAATAAGTAGTCGTTTCGTCTGGCATACAAAACACATAATTTCGACTCTACGTTCGGGAACATGTTTCATTCAGCACCTCTATCCTTTTTCCATAATATAGTAGTATATAAAAAACCCAGCGTTGGTCCAGGCAAGTTGCTTTGACGCAGAAAGTTTCAAAACAGTAAATATGTATATTATTATACAGCGTATTGTGTTTACAACATTTTTAGTGGGCCATGAGGAGAAAGCCGGGGGGGGGGTCCTCAGCGTGACACTGTGATGGTCGTGTCGTTTTTGCCAGGATGAGAACAACAATCAGTTGAAATCCAATTTTAAGAACAACCAAAAAAAAAAAAAAAGAAAGAAACTGATGGTCGGCAACCAGCTGGAGATGAGTTTACTCGTATAACAAAAAATCTGAGGAACACCTATCTGCGTGAGAAATGCCCAAGAAAAGTCAGACCCAAGAGGCATTATGGCCGAACCCAGAACCTGATAGAGACATATACTTTTGTAGCAGTTTGGAGGTACTTCAACGGATCGCTGCAATTGCAAAGATGGCTGGTGTCAGAGGAAGAAGATATAGGAGGAATGATGGTATGTTGCGGCGGACGTAACTCTTTGAGAATTCACTCTTAAAGTATTAAACTATATTCACAAAAGACAGACTATTAAGCACTTTCAGATATATGGTTCTAAACGTCTCAATTGGAACTGCTCTTTCCGCGGGGACTTGTGATAGTCGAAGCAGACTTTGTGCTGTTGAGGCAAGAGAGGTGAGCAGAGTAAGGCAGCAACCATTTTAACGCCCGGCACGGACGGTCAGACCTGACCGTTTTCATGCACAAAAAAATGCCCTCCGGCTCTTAAGTAATGAAAGGTAACAAAAAACAACAACGGTTTCGGCTACCATACTGACGCCCGACGTCCTGTGTCGTCCCCGGTCAGACCGTCTCCGATAAAACATGTGCTATGGAAGACAGTCCGTCGGGCGAGATGGGAGGTAATTTTAATGGTGTTACCTCTGCATAGTTGTCTCCCCTTTCCCGCCTCAATGACACTGCACAGAATTCAAGCAGTTCTTGGTCAGCTCTGCATATTTCTAGCAGTTCATTAAAACTTCTATGTTTCATGCAAGAGTATTGTTGGAATTTTTCACTGTCTTTCAACAACTGCGGAAACAAATGAAATCATCTAGTGTATCACGCTTTCCTTGGAAGGGTGCACTGAAAATCTTTTTGTCTTGGTTTTCCTGTTTTGTCTGCGTCTCAAAAGCAGCAACAACAACAATTTTCTTCTTCTACCACACACCATATTTTGCAAGACAGCAGTGTCTGACCGCCAAGCTCCGGTGTTAATATGATTGGCCGCACCCGACGAAAACGGCGGGTCTGGTCTGAACGTCGGTGTCGGGCGTTATTATGGTTCTACCCTAAGCCCGATTCCCCATTTGGACTTCTCTGTTGACACCCACCCCTTGGCGCTCATATGACCGTATACAGTTGCGAGCGCCGTAAAACCTCACTGAAACAAAAATTGTTTAGGTGTTTTGTTCTCGCGAACAGAAGGCCCGAGTTCGATTCTCGTGTGGGGAAAATTTTCATTTAGTGAATCTTTTGCTGGATCGTTTTATCTCTCTCAGTCTGAGCTGACCCTGATAGGTAGGGGCGAAACCTGCCTCCGAAATAGTCTAAATTGTGACGATAACGGCGTAAACACCTGCAATATGATTTATTTATTTTTAAAAATGATGCTACTCTGTCTTGCTTACCTGGGGAATCATAACAAGATAACAATTGTTTGTATTATTCCGTAATGACATGGTGGTTTAAAAAATAGTTGTAGTCTGTGGCAAACAATTGTATTATCTTCTGTTCTCTCATTGATCATAACTATAACAAAAATGGGCTTTAAATTACCTCTGAGAGTCTTTTTTAATATTTTTAAACTTTGCTCAACAGGGATTATAAAAAAAACTAATGTTTGAGGAAGAATTCTCCAGTCCTTCCGATTAGAAAGGTTTCAATCTAGAGCTATTGGACAACAGCGCTGTATACAATCATCAACATATTTTCTGAATTTCATTCATGTTCTGTCTTTTCAACATTGGTTTGCTTGTTGTTTACTTTTGGATTGGGTGCCTTGTTTGTCAGAACGATTTTTTTCTGATACGCCCTCTTTGCGTTCTTTTTTTTTTTAGGAGGATGGGGGGGGGGGGTACTTTTGGGGCTTTTTAAAAAGAACTTAAGTTAGATTTAAACTTTAAATTGTTGACATGTTAGGTTAATTTCAGTTTCTTAAACTCACCAATCCCTTCTATTAATCTTGTGAAAAACCCTCTCAATGGCTTATGAAAACGAGAGAACGAGGGTGCTGATCCTGGGATCACATTTCTTTACATTAAGTATTTGACGAGAGAAAAAAGAAAGAGAGAGAGAGAGAGAGAAAGAGAGAGAGAGAGAGAGAGAAAGAAAGAGAGATAGCGAGAGAGAGAGAGAGAAAGGGACAGACAGACAGACATACAGACAAACAGACAAACAGACAGACCGAAACAGAGTAAGAGAGGGAGACAGAGAGAGAGAAAGAGACTGACAGTCAGACAGACAAAAAAGGTTGGAACGTGTTCATATTCAGAATGCATTACCACATAGAAGGTATTCACTTTGTTCTGTAAGTTGCGGGTCCACTACAGTTTGTTTCCATCTCGACCCATCAGTAATCACACCTGGAACTATCTGACTGAAGAATGAAGCAGCAAACCTCAACTCATTTCACGGATTTTATTTCAACTGTGCACCAGTGTTTAAAATAATATTTCTGCTGTTGCTTTTTTTTTTTTTTTTTGGTTTCTTCTTTCTTTTTCTACTTTTCACATAATGCTATCTTTCTTTCAGAAAGACGAAACACTAGAATTCTTGGATTGATCATCCAACGATCTTATCTGATGTAGCGCTTGGACATTGCTTTATCTGTTGTCCATTGATGTACTGGTCAAGAGTGAGTCCAGGGTCGGAGCTGCATGTGCCGTAGAGGCGAGGGATAAGGCCAACTCTGGCTTTCCACTCACCCACCCAGCTCAGAGAGGCGCACGTACAGGGTATGGTGTTGCCATCTACGTACACAGAGCGAAGTCCATGGGCTTCTGTGATGGCGCCAGGCAGAGTCTTCAGGGAACATCTGGCAAAGTAAAAAGGTAGTGAAAGAAGCGTGTTATTTGTATACAAGGGCAAGCATACAAGACTGCAATTGCAAATATGATCTTATAATACCTTGCAGATTGTCACTTGGCTCGTACATTTTCATCTTTACTACATACATATAGATTTAGTGGGGAGGATGTGTTGGGGTGCTTCGTGCCACCTAAACTAATGTTGTTCGTTTTTTTTCAGTCTAAGAGACCTAACCTGGCACAATGGTAAAATAAGGGCTGTTAGTACTCCTCAAAAACAAGGCAGACAAAAAAAAATTAGAAAGAAAAAAGAAAAGAAGAGCAGTAACAAAATAATATCTACCAAAAATGAACTCCGTTTGAAAATATAGGCGCATCGTTTGAAAGCATCTGCATTTCTGAGAGAGTGGTCGAAAACGTTTTGATTATGTACGCATGCGTACAAAATTTCGTGCTCAATAATGTACATTAACGATTTGCCTTTTGCAAGCAGAACAAACATACAGTAAAGAAAGACAAGACTGGAGAAAGAACAAGGTTCTCCTGAATCCCCTTCACCAACTCACTGATCTGAAACAAACCTGCTCATTCTGAGAGTCTTTATGCTGTGGGCATTGGCGAAAGAGTCTCGCTGGAAGTCCTGAAAGTTGTTTCCAGACAAATCAAGGTTGGTCAACTTATGGGAGTTCTCGAAGGCATAGGGCAGGATGGTTGTGATTTGGTTGTTCGACAGGTCCAACTGGAACAAAAGTTACAAACGACTGTACTCTGAGTTCAGTCCGCGAATTATACTATCGACAATGAATAGATAAGTGTAGAATACACTACAGGGTTGAAAAACCTCAGAAATTTTACAAATAATTTATGTTCAGAAAATGAAGTTCCTGAGATTCCAATCCGGAATCCCAAGTCAGATATCTTGTTGGGTTTAGGTGAGCGGTAACCTCAGAGAAAGGGTGATCTGGCAAAATCAGTAATACCCCCCACCCCCTAAAAAGAAAAGAAAGGACAATCAGTATTTAAAGAAAAATCATTCAAACATAATACAACGTGCGTTTACAGGACTGATCACAAGACTATAAATGGACTGCATTTTTCTTAATGTTTTGTAACAGGTTCCTTTTTTTTCCTTGAACGTGGAAGAGATCTTTTACTAAGTTTCTAGAAAAAGTGATGTATCATATCCAATTAATCAACATGATTGGTACACCGCATAATTTACCGAGAGGAGAGAACTCATAGCTGACAGTGATGAGCTGGGTACATAGGGAAGTTGGCCGTTAGACAAATCAAGTTTGGTCAGGGAGCTTAGCCCTGAGAAGGTCATGGACCTGAAGAGGAAAATGTACAGTTAAATCAAATACTAAAGCAGTTAGCAATACTAACTTTCTCTTCAGCATTACCAATCATTTTACCTATAATAAAGCATGAATTTTCTACTCAACTGTTTTCTAGAATCATTTCAAATAAACATCCAAGACCCCAAAGCTTTGCATTTTGTGTGTGTGTTTTTTTTCTTCAGGTATTGGGGTTTTCATGAATTTTGTGTGATGTGTCTACGAAAACTAAACAAACCGAAAACAAAATTTAAAAAACTTAACTATTTTCTTCTCTTAGCCTTGAAAGGCCAAATCTTTTCAGAGTTTTATCTAACGAGCTGAAATTGGATCTCAAAATCGACAGGTTAGAGAACATAATACTCTCCAAACGAAAAGACATACAAAGACAATGTGTTGACAATGCGTTGGTCAGGTATACAGTGTATAGGACTAGCAAACTGTTAATATATTTTGAATATCACAAGCAACTAAATTCAACAACAGGTGCTTCTGGAACGAGCATGCGGTCGTTACACAACATGGTTGACTTACGTTATAGTTTTGAGCGGGTTCCCATTCAGCTCAAGAGTTTTCAGTTTGCTCATTGAATCAAACTGATAGTTTTGCAAAGTATTGATACGGTTTTTGCTCAAGTCAAGGGTCACGAGGCTGTGCAATGCCTTCAGGGCGCGTGGGACAGCCATAAGCATGGACGATGCAAGTTGCAGGGTGGTCAAGGTACTGGCGCTTTTGGTCAGTAGAGAGCTGGTGCCGGCGTCTGTGACGTCATCATTGGTTGACACCATTGGATTGTTGTTGAGGTTCAGCTCCTGAGAATAAAGGCATGGTTTGATGGAACTATTTAATATATTCATTTAATACATAATGTTCCGTGCCAGGGGGAGGTGGGGGATGTAGACACGATACAGATAACGAATGTTTGTGTGCCATTATGTGCGTGTGTGTGTATATATGTGTGTGAGGGATGTCTGTGTGTCTGTATGTGTGTGTGTGTGTGTGTGTGTGTGTGTATGCGTGTGTATTTATGTGTGTGCATGGGGTGGGGTTGGGTGTGGGTGTGTGTGTCCATGTGTGCATGTGTGCTTTTGTGTGTGTGTGTGTGTGTGTGTGTGTGTGTGTGTGTGTGAGTGCGTGTGTGTGTGTGTGTGTGTGTGTGTGTGTGTGTGTGTGTGTGTTTGTGCCTATTATATTGGCAACAATGACTGAGGCAGAATAACAATAGACAGACATTCTATTATAGTTTTGAAATACATTTTCAAAAATTCTTACGACCTAGTCCTTGTTCGTTTGCTTTTCGTTTTTTTGTTTTGTTTTTATTTTTTCTCAACCTTGGCTGATACAGTAGTTCTAATGTATAGAAAACTATCTTGGGACTTTGTTTTTGTTAAATTAAAAGTGTCTCTTGTCTTTTTTGTAGATTTAGAACGAATGTGCCCATCTATAGAAATAAACCATGAAATTCAATTAAAGCTTCGCACTAAACCTTATCCAGCTCAATACCTTTCATCTCTTTTCAGAAATAATCTTTAAAAAAAAACTGATCATGTGCACCCCCTGTTCTGCTGTGTACCAAGTATGTTAGAGCAATGAAGTTTACCTGAAGAGACGTGAGATCCTCAAGAGCGCTCGGTATGTACGAGAGACTCCCTCCAGACAAAGAAAACTCGCGAAGGGTTGAAGCAAACCTCGCAAATGAACCCTTGGAGATGGTAGAAATGCTGTTGTTGGATAAGTCTAAAACCTGCGAGGGAAAAAAGCAACAACACGTTAAAATTTGCCTCTAAGAGTTAAAAATCAGAAGCAGTCGTTTCTATCACTTTTCAATTAGCTATGAAATTTCACTATACTAGGATTACTAAATTAATTAACATCGTGTCAAATTTACACGATACTGACTTTTACTTAAGAACTTGACAAGACCGAATTAAGTGTATGGCCGTTATTTTTGTGTGTAACGATTTGAGAGACACCACTAAAAACCTTTAGAAGTGAGATATCACAGTCGAATATTCAGATGCCACTGGTATAGAAAGCGAAATTTACAGCAGGTCTCAGCCTGTACGGCTTTAAGCTAAGGGAGTACTTCTCAATTTCAACAAAAGAAGTAGACAGTACTTGTTAAAATCTTAGATAACGGCAAGCACATGCATGTGGAAAAATTGGGGGCGGGGTGAATATCGAGGGGTCTCGATTGCTCAAAAATTAAGTCAAGTAATCGGAAGGTACGACATCCATGTTATGGGTTGGTGTTAAAGTGTGGCCTTGGGCAAGACATGTCTTATCCTAAGCTGAACTACCATAAAACGGACCGTAACATCTGGTTTTGGTTTATTCATTTTTATGTTCGAACATGATTGTTTGGTGTTTTTATGTTGTATTCATCTATATAAATAGACGCCCTTGCACTTATAAGAAATCGTTTGCTTATCTTACTTTTTATAACAACAGACCTCTTGATTGTTTATCTCACAAAAATGTTTTCACGCAGCTCCTCGGTTCCCGTATATACTGCAATTTAAAGCATCATCTGTGAGTCGTGGCATAGAGTTGGTGGACTTATTGAAATAAACAGAAAAAAACTATACAAATACTATTATCTACAATGACCCAACTAAGGTATAGAACATTCAAGATAAAGACCATAAAGAAGGTGGCAAGATGACATCAGAAAGCTGACGTGTACAACCTGGACAGGGAAAACTGCAGCTTGTAAAGCAGAGCGAGGAACGTCGTTGGAAAGCTACATCCTGCAGTGGAAGGACAACGCCTAGCATTACAGGAAGAAAGAAAGAAAGAAAGAAAGAAAGAAAGAAAGAAAGAAAGAAAGAAAGAAAGAAAGAAAGAAAGAAAGAAAGAAAGAAAATAAGAAAGAACACTGGAAAACCGAACCTGTAAAGCCGTGAGGTCAGCGATTGGTGCCTGGAAGCTGGCCAAACTGCTGTTGGACAATTTCAGCGTCCTGAGAGAGTTGGAGAAGGCGTCCATGGCACCATCTCTGATGTACACCACTTTATTGTTAGAGGCATCTAGTTCCTCTAGGTGAACCAGGGAGTCGAGGGCGTCTGGCCAGTAACGGATTTTCGTGCTCGAAAAGAAGAAACTGGGAGCAGAGGTTGGGTGGGGGAGGGAAGGGTTGTAGTAATTTGACTTGAACATTATTGGGCATATGTCACGTCATGGGGAATGAAAAAGAAAACGGACGGCAATACTTGCAATATAAAAGTTAAAAAGGGACAACATAGATTATTCATTTCCACAACTTTTGTCCAGATCCCAAAACGTAGGAGTACCGGTACATTAATATGCAATGGTGATGAAAGGTGGGGTCGACTGTTCATACTGTACACCACAATTAAAGACTTATTGACGAAGAGATGACGAGGAGGAGATAGATTTGGAATTGGTATAAAGAAAACTGATAGTGGACAATTATAAACACACACACAAAGACACACACAATATATATA